ATGGTAATATCCATTCTTATGTCGATACGATATATCCCAGGTAGCTTGAGATAAAAGATACCACAAATTCTGACACATCTGTTTCATACTTGGATATTTTACTTGAAAAAGACGTTAATGGCAATCGAAAAATCATCCTCTATGTTAAACATGATGACTTTAACTCTTCAATTGTCAACTTCCCTTACTAATGCAGCAATATACCTTCATCACCTGTATACGGAGTTAATATACTAGTATCTCAGTTGATTTGATACGCAAGAGCATGCTCTACGTATGAACAATTTCTAGAATGAGGTAAATTTTTGACAAACAAGTTGATGAAACAAGAATATCAGCAATCTCGTCCAAAGTCATCATTTCTACAGTCGAAACAATTACCTTATCAACAATACAATTTAGCATTGAGTCAAATGCTGAATGGCGTTTTTCATACTAATTTGAGGTCCATGTTTGCTCTGCTCCCTTTTTGTATTGTTTTAATTCCATATGTTTCATGGGCCATTGAGCTGGAATACTGTTTCTTATCTCTATATGTTTCATCCCGGAGATCCCACAGAATCATACACATAGTTAGACCATAAATAAGATACTCAATTGTCCACAGTATGCTAATCCGAGTTAACCGACAAGGAGCACATAGCAGATATGACCGGTCGGCTGGGGATACTCACTCCTCCATAGCACCTGAACCACCTCTGATGTTTTTGGAGATGCGTGTTTGCTCTGCTCCTTTTTTTATTTTGTTTAAATTGACTTTGAGCTTATTTCTACATACACTGTATTAATATTGGAAACCTATATCACTAGCATTCGTTTCAAAATTGACCATGTCTACTTTTAACATGCTCCGAAACATGCACACCGAATCGATTTAGAGAAATAAACACCATTTGCAGGTGATAAGTAAGTACAAAAAGCTGAATTCATACCGTTTGACATATAGCTAAGTTGTTAGTTGACATTTAAGATCTAAAATATATAATCAATAATTACAGTGCATGATTTGTCATCTATTTTACTTTGCGATTTGTCGCATATTTTGGGTTTCCAAGAAAAAAAAGACGATTTATTGGGACTCCTAAAAGTAATCCAATTTTTCTTACACCATTGCATATAATTTAAAATAAACTATCTTAACAAAATCGTAAGGGAAGGGTGCCAAAGATGGACTTTACTATTTGAATGTTGGAGAGGGGTATCCGCCTCTTAACTCAAAAAAAAATTCTCCTACTGCGCCTATTATTTTACTTTTTGATCAGACACTGTAAACTTTCCCATATTAAAAAGGACGTACAATTTCTTTTTATAAAATGACTCCTTCAAATAATTTAAAACTACATAGAAAATCTCGTCGGGATTTTTTTTGGCAAAGAATCTTCATCACAAAGTCTGGTAAGTAAGATCTCAGTGATGGTCAAGGTGAGCTAAAAATAAACTATTCTGCCGTAACAGCGACTGCACAGCCACTGCCGTGACCTGGATTCGAACCTGGGTTGTCGCGGCCACAACGCGAAGTACTAACCACTATACGATCACGGCTATATGAACAGTTATTACTATTGAAGAGGTCAATGGTACAAAAGTTTGATACGTCAATAGCTATTGCATGTTTCCTCCATTTTTACCATGCAATCATAATAATTACTTTTGGAAATATTCTAAAAATAAGTTTCTTTCTTTGAATTATGAAACACCTTCTCTAGAATTAATCTATAAAAAAAGAAATAATAACCCGTGAAGAGTATTCTTGATGAACTCTTTCCAGCCACAATTTGTCTATGCTGATTTGGGTGCTCAATAAAAAAATCCTTAAAATATTTTTTATAATTAAAAACTGATTTTTTCTTGGTGAAAATCCATAACTTGAGAAAATATCCTGAAGTTTTAATTCTCAGTAATTGAAAAAAGTCAACCTTCAATTACTCTTTAGTGTTAAATACTTGAAGTAAAAAGCAGTAACCTTGACTTAGTTGTAATAAGAAACCATTCAGAATGATACAATTTTAGATAAGAGGAATGTCTTTAGGACTGTTAATAATGATAAAGTATAGTTCTATGATAGAATAAACAAAATAGTTCACTTCCTTATATTATTATATTTTGATAACTTGAACCGATAGCATTCCTACATGATTTTATAAACCACAAGACTAAGGACATACCACTGAGATAGCTGATCAAAATTCAATCAAAGAAAATATATATTTTTTAAAAGTGATCTTTAATCTAGTGTCTTTAAAAATCACAAAACGGGACTTTCAATACAACCTCTCGAGAACTTCCATCTCACGAAGAGTATGAATCATTTGATCATTTTGTTAAATTCCGTATCAGCTTAGCAAAATCTTCCTGTAGCGGTAAGGCACGCGAAAACAATTTAATTATGGACGTAAAGATCAGGCATAAATTCAGAAAGCCGATTCAATTTTTTTTAAATTTACAAGTGAAATCAACGTGAATAAAACATTCTCAGTAATTGAAAGATATGGAGTTAACGAACAGTATCCAATATGAAATTCCATAAAACAATACAAAATAGGAGAAGAGCAAACATGGACCTCTAAAATATCAAAAGTGGGATCAGGTGCCATGGAATAACCCGAAAAATAAAAAAAGCAGTTATATAATAACATCATTGATAGAGATTCTGTGAAGTCTCATTAAATTTTATTCTGTGTCATAGAAAGAGTTGAGAATAGAGATTAAAGTGTCAATGTTTTACTTTGCACAACCATATTTATTTTCTTACAAATAGGAGGGGCACATTTTATATGAAAATTAATCATCATTGGGGAGTTAACGAAGAAGTTGATATTCAAAAGGTACTGATTGACATTATTAAAATTAAAAAAAGCTCGATCAATTAAATCTGTGAATAGTTATGGCAGAATCCTATAGGAGCTATGTCTCATAGGAAACTTCAATAATGTTAAGTTTTATTGCAAAAGAATGTGACCTTAATTTGTGCAAAAAACAATGAAGGATATGAAGATAACGAAAATTATTCAAAAACAAAGTCCATAAAACAATACAAAATAGGAGCAGAGCAAAAGCAGACCTACAAAACATTGAGGGCGGGATCAAGTGCCACGGAGGAGTGAGCATCCCCTGCTGACCGGTCACACCCACCGTGTGCTCAGTGCGATGATCGAAAAAAACCGTCGTATAAATAATGGACTAACAATAAATATGAAAAACGTCAGTCAGCATTTGACTCAATGATAAGTTGTATTTGCTGACAAGGTCATTGTATCGACCAAAGAACTTACGAAATGACGACTTTAAACGAGACTGTTGATATTCTTGTTTCATCAACTCGTTTGTAAATAGTTTACCTCGTTTTAGAAATTGTTTATACATAGAGCATGAACGCCGTATGCAGGTGATAATGGTATATTGCTGCATAAGTAAGGGAAGCTGACAATAAAAAAGTTAAATTCATTACGTTTATCGTAGAGCTTGGTTTTTAGATTACCATTAACGTCTTTTTCAAGTAAAATATCCAAATATGAAACAGATGTTTTAGATTCTATGGTATCTTTTATTTCAAGCTCACCAGCATATATCGTATCATCATAGGAATAGAAAAAAAAAACATTGTTTATTCGTCGATATATCTAATTGTTGAGTTGAAGGCCACTGCAAGTGTTTTCTTCTTTTCATGCATAAGATTTTGCACAAATTCTGCTTCATATGAATACAAAAATAGGTCTGCTAATAACGGGGCGCAATTGGTGCCCCATGGGAATTCCAATAAATTGTTTGAAGACCTGGTCTCCAAAAAACCACATAAAAACCATGTGTGCTTAAAAAGTGCGCGAAGCTGTATATGGAAATAACAAACAATAATCAAAAGCAAAAGTCCATTATACAGTACAAAATAGAAGCAGAGAAACACGGACATCTAAAACATCACAAATGGGATCAGGTGTCATAGAGGAGTGAACATCCCCTGCCAACCGGTCACATCCGTCAAGTGCTCCTTCTGTTGATCGGATAATTCCACAAAAATTCGTCGACAGTTCAACGTATATATAAAACCCTAATTATTAGTATGAAGAATGTCAGTCAGCATTTCACTTGAAAATAAATTATGTTTGCAGTCAAAATCATTATTTCGACCATAGAACTTACGAAATAATGACTTTAAATGAAGTTGCTGATATTATTGTTTCATCAACTTGTTTGTCAATAAATTGCCTCGTTTTCAAAAATTCTTCATACAAAGAGCATGCTCTTGCATATAGAATCAACTGTGAGATATTAACGCCGTATGCATGATGAAGGTTTATGTATATTGCTGTGTAAGTAACGGATGTTGACGACAATATATAATTTTCGAAATGCGGAGATTTGTGACATTATATCCTTATCACCTTTATGTGGGTTTTATGTCTCCCAGTTGTACAACTATGCAATAGCGATCATGCTCTACGTACAAGCAATTTCTAAAACAAAGGAAGTTAAAATGAATTTTAAACTTAATTACTATTCGTTACTTCCATATTTTATTATTGGAAAAACCTTCATCAGTAGCATTTGACTTAAATTGAACATGTGTACATAAACATACTCGGAAACATGCACATTTAATAAATTAAGAAACATAAACACCGTTTACAGGTGATAAGTAAGTACAAAAACTTTAAGTAATACCTTTTGTCATATAGCTTAGTTGTTAGTTGACATTTAAGATTTAAAATGTATAATCAATAATTACATAATAGAATTTGTGCATCTCATTTTTTACTTTTCGATCTGTCGCATTTTTGGGTTTCCCAGAATAGAAAATGATTTCTTGGGACACAAAAGTGTAACCAATAAGTAAATATACGACTCTTCTTACACCATTGCATGTAACATATCATGCATTTTTTAAACAAAATCTTTACTATTGGATGTAAAACATGGACTTTCCATTTACTATTTGAATGTTGAAGAGGGATATCTATCTCTTAACCCCAAGCAATTTCTCCTAATGCGCCTATTAGTTTACTTTTTGACACTGCAGAATTTCCGTATAAAAATGGTTTTTATATCCGATAAAAAGAGGTACCCATTTTTATGACACGACTCCCAATAATTTAAAACTACACAGGTTATCCCGTCGGTACAGAACCTTCATAAGAAAGTCCAGTAACCAAGATCTCAGTGATGGTCAAGGTGAGCTAAAAAGACACTGTTCTGCCGTAACAGCGACTGCACAGCCACTGCCGTGACCAGGATTCGAACCTGGGTTGTCGCGGCCACAACGCGAAGTACTAACCACTATACGATCACGGCTATATGAACAGCTGTTTAACTTCGGCGGAAAGGAGAATGAATTTTTAAAGGTAAGGTTCTCTCACGAAAAATCAATATTTCTTTCGTCACAATGCTTTTAAACAAGCCCCTGCCCCTTTAAACCGTGTCATTGCATGATGTTCAGGGATTTATTTTTAAGAATTTTTACTTTTGGTTGTCTTTTCTTCTTACTTGTTTTCTATTTCATGAAATATTATATGCTAATTAATATTCTATAAGTAAAAAGTTAAATAAAAATATATAAAAGATTTAAAATTTAAGTTTTAAAGATAATAAAAAGGATGAATATGACAAAATAAATAATAAATATCTTTAGATACAGCGTACATATCAGAGACAAATTTCTATTTAAGTTTATTGATATGAAAATTACCGTCTACTCCAGTTGTCGAGAAGAATTTATTTTTAGCCAGGCGTTTTAATCTTCTGTTGGCGGCCTGTTTTCCGTCGCTATTAGATAGTGCCAGGGCGTACGTAGTTATAGCTATGGAATAAGGCCTCCTGGCGTAGAATAAATTGGTCTTTAGGTACTGTACAGCCCTCTGTATGTTGATGGCGGATCCCTGATTATAATATTAATAGAAAACAAAAAATAATTACTGTATGTACATTGTAAGAAATAAATTATCTTACCCATGTAACTGTCAGGCTTTTTATTATTAGAAATTTTCAATTGTTCAATGATTTTTTCAAATTATTAAATGCACAACAATCAATGAAAAAAAAACTTACCATAAAGGCTTGAATATAAAAGATATTTTGACAAGTCAAAATCTTTTATAATGGAATTTAAATATTCATATAAATTTTATGTGATCAATGTGTCATTTTAATTGTTTACTAGTGAAACATGAAACTAACTTTAAGTGCTTTTACTTCAAATACATAAATATTGTTAGGCTACAACATTGCAGGGAATTTGTGATATATTGTATTCAGCCTTTACCTCGGGTTTACAGCTACATCCCTGGATAGAAATCAAGATGAAGGCAGTTCTGGAAATGTCTCCAATATTACCTCCCTGGGAAACATTAAAAAAATAAATCATTAGGGGAAATATGTATTGTTTTAACTGAATATTTGAACGGAATATTTCCTTGAAATACATTTTGATCTGAATTTTTAATGTAATTTATGTAAGACAACGTTGATCAGTCATAAAATTTAATAAATCTACTATGCTTTAATTTTTGGAGCCTTGTCACTTTTACAGTCGTTATTATCAAAACAACATCAAACGATATTTATCGGGAGCAGAGTAATCCCTAAAAGCATTATTGGTTGGATCAGGTGGTAGGAAAGAGTAAGCATCCCCAACGACAGCTCACACCCGCCATGTGCTCCGTGTCATGGCCAGAAAAACTGAAAAATGTCCATACACAACTCAGTGGCTTAACAATTATTATGAGAAACTTAAGTTGGGATTTGTTTAAATGATAGATATTATTTATAAATCAATTATCTCATAAAAAATACAATTTGAAGATTGGTTGCATACGTATTTGACATATAATTTCAGAGCACACAAAAACCTAAAAATAACCCTATACACTTGAATTCTATTTATTTCCTACTATAAACGATATGAGATAAAAGATACCACAAAGTCTGACAAATTTGGTTCATATTTGGATATTGTACTTGAAAAAGATTCTAATGCTAATCTAACAACCAATCTCTATGATAAACGTGATGACTTTAACTTTTTGATCGTCAATTTTCCTTACTTATGCCGCAATATACCTTCATATCCTGGTGAGCTTGAGATAAAAGATACCTCAGAGTCTGACACATCTGTTTCATACTTGGATATTTTACTTGAAAAAGACGTTAATGGTAATCTAACAACCAAGCTATATAATGAACGTGATGACTTTAACTTTTCTATCGTCAACTTCCCTTACTTATGCAGCATTATACCTTCATCACCTGCATACGGGGTATATATATCTCAGTTGATTTGATACGCAAGAGCATGCTCTACGTATGAATAATTTCTAAAACGAGGTGAATTATTGACAAGCAAGTTGATGAAACAAGAATATCAGCAGTCTCTTTTAAAGTCATTATTTCGTAAGTTCTATGGTCGATACAGTGACCTTGTCAGCAAATACTACCGGTATTTATCATTGAGTCAAATGTTGACTGACGTTTTTCATACTAATTATTAGTCCATTATTTATACACTGAATTGACGACGGATTTTTCCGTTATTTCCTGATCATGACAAGGAGCACACGGCGCGTGTTACCGGTCAGCAGGTAATGCTCACTCCTCCATGGTACCTGATCCCACCTCTGATGTTTCTGAGGTCCGTGTTTGTTCTGCTCCTATTTTGTATTGTTTAATGGACTTTGTGAGATTGAATACTGTTGGTTATCTCCATATCCTTCTGCATAAAGAGTTTTTGTATCTCAGTTGATTCGATATGCAAGATCATGCTCTACATATGTACAATTTCTTAAACGAGGTAAATTATTGACAAACAAGTCGCTGAAACAAGAATATCCCTTTAAAAGTCATACTTTCGTAAGTTTTATGGTCGATACAATGACCTTGTCAGCAAATACAATTTATCATTGAGTCAAAAGCTGACTGACGTTTTTTTTTTTACTAATTGTTCAACCATTATTTACACACTGAATTGACGACGGATTTTCTGTTTTTCCTGATCATGACAAGGAGTACATCGCGTGTATGACAGGTTGGAATGGGAAGCTCATTGACTTTTTGGCATCTGATTCGTTTGCACCCCTATGTTTTATAATAATGTTTCTATGTCTATTTTGTATTGTTTTATGAAATTCTCATTGAAATTTCGTTATCTCCACGTGTTTCATAATAATACTTCATACATCAATTTGTATCTGTACAAGATTGAAAATTCATTGATATTTCTTAGGATTAAGTAGAAAGAGCAAAGTATCCAAACCCCTTCACTATTTGTAAAACAGTTTTAATCTGACCAGCATTTCTTTATGGTACACTGGTGCCTCGTCATCAAACGCTCCGTCAGAACGTTGTTTAGATAAGATATAACGTATCCCCGAGCACAGAATCTGTTCATCTATGTGGTAGTACTTCTGGGCTTCACAGAGGACCCGCAGAACAAATGCAGTCAGCCTGTGTAAAGACAAATAGAGCTCTGATAAATGCACACACTATAATGAGACAAGGCAGAGATGATTCAATAACAAGTATGTAAACATACCACGTACTTGAGGGTTTGTGGGGCCATACTGCAAAAGAGCCGTTAGTTTTTCGAAAGCGAAGTAACTTCTGGAAACCTATTGAAAATCACGGGAATTAGCTTGAGTTGACTTGAACTCTTGGGTGATCAACACCAGGGAGTATGTTAAGTAATATGAATTATAAACACTGTACCTCTACTTATGACTCTCTGGCCGCGTACTTTGTGATGGTCCTGAATTTGGTTTGTTCCATGTAAGTATTTCAGTGCATATACTATTGGCGCTAAAGTGATCATCGTCTGTTCCCCACATCCATGTGGAATTCTATTCAATAACTGATCTACGTCATCAATAGCCGTCAATACAACGGAGTCCATTATATTTCCTAGATTTCAAGAAAAAAAAGGAAAAGTCACATTGTACCTTGATTACATGTATCTTGTTTTGCTTTTAAAGAGGACTCCTCTTCGGATAATGACAATTTTTTCGTAAGACAGACGTCAGTCATTTGTGTAATGCTTTTAAAAAGAAGACTTTCAAACAAAACTATCGTAAGCAATTGTGTTCTTTTCAGGAAATATGCTGTGAACAAATAAAGTAGTATTTATTATAAACAATTAGCAACCTGTAGCGCCTGCTTGGCATTGCTCGGTGCCTGGAATGGTATCTTTTGGAAGGACCAGGTCCACGTCCGTCTTCTGTAGTCCTAAAGTCGTCTGTGGATGTGAAACTAAAAGAAACACGTCACTTTTATATTATTTAATCATTTAAAAGGAAAATATTCCCTTCATGGTTAGTATAAAGTTCATATTATGCCTACTATTCACTCGTAAATCTCCTTGTTGGTGTTGTCTCCCTTTCTGAAGGTGAGGATCAACCCAAAAGGAAACGGTTTTCCTCTCTTCTTTTCCTTCATTCTGCAAAAAATCTCAGTCGATGAAAATTATTTCTTGAAGCAACCAAAGAAAAAAGTGAAGGAAAAATGTCTTTACTTACGATCACATAGACGATCTTTCGCACCCAATCACCTACACCGACAGATCTTACGATGATTTCTATTGGAAATTTCCCAGCACGTAGAGGAACTATGGGAAATCTGACGGTTTCTGCATCATTGGAATTAACTCGTACAGATATCGTACTGGTTTTAGAGGAACAAATTTCATCGGTGGTATTCATATAGATTCGACACTATGAAAAAATAAAATGTGTAGTTTAATGCAAATTACTTAAACTGTACATGTATTTAAATAATTTCCACTTCTATTCTTTAATTGTAAGTTTAAATAATAAGAGAATATATGCATGTTTGGACCATCAGTTATTAATATTACCGGCAGACTAGTGTTTCGGTAGTTGTAAATGGTGGCGCGGATCTCGGTTTGTTCCATTCTAACAATGCTGTAGGGAAGGTCGACATCTACAAAGAAATCTTGGTAAGCGACAATCTCAGCTGGATCCGCCACACACAATCCGTGAGCAGACGACAGGGAGAGTGCTTGTATCATGTGACTTGTGATGGAGTGGGGCGTCTGCAAGAGTTCTGTGTGGTTACCATCAGTACTGTAATGATAGGGTCAAATTCTTATTGTTGTTTTCATTACTTTTTACGATTTCAACAAGAGATGAAATAAAAATATAACTTATGCATCGGTATAATAAAGTAAATACTACATGCTGTAATTTCACCTCGTTAAATCCATTGTCAATAGTTTATTTTTAATTTTACCCCCAATTATGCTAGTTATGATACAATGTTTTATGATTTTACTTTAAAAAATTTCAACGAAATAGAAATTATACTTCCAAACATTGAATTAAAAACAACGTCCTCAATAAAATTTTTTGGTACATGTAAATCTAGGAAGGACAAATCCCTCTTTCACCTCTTGCTAAGGGATGTGCAACAGATCTAGAGATTACAAATACAACGAAACAATTCTAGTGATGTGTAGATGTTGGCAAAAAGCTATATTAGTGTTATGATAGGATTGGAAGATAGCATTGTTCTTTTTTCGCATAAAGGAAGACTTACTCTAAGTTTGCTTCCTCAAATAGCCAGGATTCCGGGAAATAAGATCGCATTAACAGCTGTGATTGACTGTCGATATCCCGGAATGTGTACTCCTTTCCCTCATCATTGACTGTCTTTCCTAGAATAGGGATTATTTTTGGTAAATAACTTTCTATTATATCCAGAACGCCATTCATTTTAAATACCAACTTTGAATGATCGTAACATTTTTTTGCTATGTTACAAAGTTAAGAACTTTGGAACAGATCCCATATTTATGGTTAGTTACAAACCTGTGTAGGCTGGGCCAGACGGCAAAAAGCGTTTACAACATTTGTAGAAAACCTTGGAACAACCCGTACTTCCAGTTAAATTGAAAACCGTTTTTCCTTCTTCAAAACATTCCACCGGGTTTGTTATATTTCTCCCAAAAAGATCCCCGGCCACACAGCAAGGATGGGTGTCAATTATATTTGTCAATTCGTCTTCAAAATTAAACCCATCATCATCATCATCATCATCATCGATATTTAAATAATCACATCATGATAAAACGAAAGATTGAATGAACAATTTCAGATTCAAATCATAAAAAAGTTATTTAAAAATAATTTAAAACTTTATCTTTTGAAAAAAATATTAATACCCGATGATCGGCGTCTTCTGGAGATTCTGTTACAAACTGTGTGGTCACGGCGCGAGATCCGGATGTAGATATTGGAGATCACCGTTAAACCCGAATCCTTAGTGGTCAATTGGAGTACATTATAACATTATAAGTAATGTAGTAAATACGAATAAATATATCCAGTATTATATGACAAATTATGAATGAAATTTTAAATTCACCTGAAATATTTGATGAGAACTGTAGCCTCCTCCTGACCCGCAGTCTGTACTGTGTTTATCAAAATCCTCAAAAATCTAGATACAGAAATAGAAGAAATAAATATAGAATATATAAATAAAAATCTCTTGCTTTAGCATATCTAAAATCCTCTTGCTTTAACATATATAAAATATACAACGGCAACTTTTTCATATGATTTTTTTTGTGTTTTGGCAAACGAAAACATATTGTAAATTAAAAATGTGAAGCACAGTATATTTTCTTTATGCAGGAGCTATTTCTAAGAATTGATACTTCAATATTTATGACTTAAACTCTCAACCAAATGTATACTCAACAAAAAAAAATCACACATATTCAGATTAAACATGATAATCTAAGTTTTAAGTTTAAACCTTATTTTTAAAAGTGATTTAAGTCTGTGTTGTGATAAAAATAAAACATGTCCTATGTGGCGAATTGAAAAGTTAGGTTAATGTCATTTCCATCGCCTCCAAATTCAAGGGGCATAACAATATGTACTTTGCGACGTCCCAGCGCTAGTGGATTTCCAATGTACGTATGTTGTGGACGAATACCAGCTCCTCTCAGTTGCTTGTGTACAATTTGTGCACTTTTATGCTGATTTCTTCAACCAGCAATTGTAGCAGCAGTTTGTGCAACGTTCTCAGTCGATTGCTGAAGGGGGATATGACGGTCCTGTCTGGGTGTGGTAACCTGTTGACGGCCAGTTCTTGGTCTGTCATCCGTGTTCTTAGCTTGTGGAGACGTAGTTTAACCGCTGCAAAGCCGATTGATGTACACTAAATGTAGTTGCAACCTCCTGTTGCTTAGCTCCAGTTATCATCATAGTTAGCTCGTGTTGCGTTCATCTTTGTTAAGGCGTGACATTGCAGATCAACATTGCAATCAAATCTTAAATATGGGTTTGATAGGAGTGTTTATTGTTTCTCTAAATCCAAAATATCAATGAAAATAGACCCCCGATTTACAAGAAATCATGTAAAATACTATTTTCATATACATGATTAATCAAGGGAAATAATTCAACACTTTGGTTTTAAAACCCCACGTTGTCCTTTAAAAAGATCATAGGCATCCAATGATAAAAAAGGTAGTTGTTCCATATACTTTTTCAAATTCTTTTAATGAGTAAAACAATATGCGTTTCTGTTTCTGTTGAGTATATATTAGTCTTCAATTTTAATAATGAGGCTACCATTTGTTTTGTCAGAATTCCTTTCTCTTGCAGTAAATAAACAGCTTTATCCACAGCGAGGAACCCCACGGTGGCCCCCGGGGCACCAGCCACCCTGAGGACAGATGACTGCCCTGGGAGGACGACTTCATCGTCTATGCTGGTGGTTAGCTACAAACGGAAGAAATGTATCTTGTTTTAATGGTAAAGTTACATGTACATTGGTATTTTTGTACACATCATTATTATTATATCTTATATATTTTCTTTTTCACAAAGATTGTTTTCCTTGTATTTAAAGGATATTTACATGTTCTATGTCAGACAAAATGAACTGGTCATAAAGAAGTACATCACGAATTTGTGTTTGAATGATTGATTGTGTGTTGTATTGCAACAAAATGTGATAGCTTATCTTGACCTGAGAAAAAAAATGTGAAGTTATCATCACTTATATGTTATCTTGTGATATGCCTTTTTCATGCTTCATTGTGACAACAGCTGAATGTCTCTGTTTTACCTCCTTAGTTTTACACATTCCCTCGATATTCATCTCCACAGAGTCTGATACTATCTCCTGTCCCAGGGGAGTCTGTTTGATAAAATAAGCCAGGACTCTACACCGAGGTGTCATGGCGGGTTGTATAGGTATTATAATAGCATGGATACCACTGTAGATCGTAACAGAGGCGGAAGTAAGGATCTTTCCTTGACCCAATACCTGAAGGAACAGAGAATCGTCAAGTACTTAAAAAACAGCTTATCATCCTTCATGACAGAGTGGTGTTTTTTGTAGTGCATACACTTAAAGTACTTTACCATGTAAGTTATGTTACTCGTAAATATTTCACTGGTGAAGATGATGACTTGAAGGTCGTCTTGGCTCTGTAAGAAAGAACGGATATAGTTTAAGATTGACCTACATTTCTACAGCACTGTCTTGATTATATTGCTTATCCAGAATTGAAGGTATCAATTATTTTTTTTAAAGTTAAAATTTAGTCACACGAAATATATGGAAATCATGGACAGCATTCAAGCGCAAATTTCTATATATTTAAACAGTTCACATCAGGAGCAAGGCAAACATGGACCTCTTTAATATCAGAGATGAGATCGAGAGTCATTGAGGAGTGAGCATCTCTTGCTTTGGAATACGTGGGAATATATTATGTCTATAAGATTAAGCGTAATGATACCTTAGTTGCCTGGATATTGATATAAGCACGAGATGTTGTTCTCATTGCAGTGATATCCACCGTTAAACTTGCTTGTTGACCTGCTTCAAAGCGCATATCTTTTGTTTTAATCTGAAAGTGTGAGAATTTTTCAATAATAAAATTAAATACAAACTTATTTCTTATTCCTTCTCTAATTTCCAATTCTTGAATATGTACTGTAACAAAAATACCCTAAACTGTATTCTGTCGTCCAGCGTCCTTGTACTGATTGTGTACACCGCCTTCCCGTCATCATCCGTCGTCAGGCGTTGGACAGGGTCCTCCTCTGATACCCCATACTTAGACGTACGCGTTGCAGCCAGTGAAAGTGGAATATGTATGGCCTTCTGACGATTGACCCAATTGGTATGTATCTATAAATGGTAAACATTTCAGTGTTTTAGTAGTTGTAAAAATTTATATAGTTTGGTAACTAATATGTGTAGTTATTTTATTATTTACATCAAGTAGATATTTAGTAGATGAAAAGGATACAAGAAACAGACTATTTTCGATGGTTGCTGAGCCATTCTTACTTGAATTTCATGATTCAATCCTGGTTTAAAGTAGAACCTGGTTTTTTCAACTGATATTCTGAATGGTCGCAGTGCAAAGACAATTGACCAATCAAATGTCTTTTCTTTGCGGCCTGAGGCTTGATCCATCACCTCTGCCTCGATATGTAACCTGGCTCCGTCCGGAAACCAGTAGGGCTGAAGACTGTTTGACACGTCCTCCATACTAACATTGAATGTAGCTACACCAGAGGACAGCTGCAACAAATACTAATGTATTGCATAGGACTCAAGTTTGTTAAGATATCTATGTAACTTTGCGTTTCTGGAATAATGGTTATATGAGGTCTTACCATCTGATTAAGTCTGAAATGGCACATCTCGTATCGACCATCGACTTGGACCCCCAGAGAAAGAAATGCCTCACCGCGGACCATCTTTCCATAGATATATCTGTAATGAAATGAATATAAAGATGACTTCTACAGGGTGAATTGTTCCTCAGTAAATGATAGAAAAATTCACTGAATGAAACTGCTAATACCTGGACTTGACAGTTACTTCAATTTGATCAGTTGTGGGTAGGATGATCGCTGTATCCCCAACATCGATGTCTACGGAAAATCGAGGCAATACTGTAAAGAAAAATATAAAGATTTTTGCTTTGTCGATTCAAATTTATACAATAAAATGCCACAACCACTCAAAATAGAAATTTTTACCATATTCAGTTACTTCAAACACAGCAGTTGTCTGGAGTGCATTCTGCAATATGCAGAGATAGAGAAATAACACACTAAATCATAACAAAATTAACGAGTAGAAAAGACTTACATTAAACTGTGCAAAACTTGTTTGTTTATCAATTTTTTACATGATTGTTATGTGACTTTCTTTTGATTTTATCTTTTAGATGTATAATTATCCAGCTACATTGCTTGTAAGAGAAGCTTCTACGGTCCAGTTGTTGCCAAGGAAAGGAATGTCTGGTAACTCAAATGTGTGGGCGATAAAACGCCTGGACCACGAGGAGTTCCACCGCTGTACTATAATACCCTGGGGATTCTTAAACAAAGAAGAAGGTAAATATATAAAAGTCACCATTAATTGTAATAATTAAAATATAGACCAACTCATGACAAACGTTTTTGGACTTTGTAGATTACAAATTCAATTTTATTCCATTTAATGTAAAATTGTCAGTCTAACTACTTAAAAGAACACTGAAATTAGGATGCAATGTTAAGAGGTCCTTACAATATATCTATTTTTAACATTGTAATTATGGTTTTAACAACTGTTAAACTGTAATTTTTTACCTTGACATCGATAATTATAGGTTCCGAACTCGGTAATCTGTCCTCATTCAGCAAAACAACTCTGATCTTTACTAGAAATGTAATTCTTACAATCAAATGACTACACGCAAAAAGGTTAAAGAAACTCTGCAAATACATGTATAGGTAATATTCGAGATAGAGATTAAAACTAATACCTGATTATATTCTTTTTATAATAATATATGCATTTATTTTGTTTGTCTTCTACAGTTTTTCTACCTTCTTGATCAGGGGTATAGATTGGTTTGTCTGTCTGTATGAAGATAAAGCCAGACACCCTGCTCACAAGGATTACCGACTCCTGAGAAAACGTCATCCTTGGATCGGTAGAGGTCGCCACCAGGTAGGCATGTTCTACGTCACCACTACTGTCATTAAAATGGGCGTGGTTGATTCGCAGTTTCACCCTGTTTATACCTAAAATAACAATATTGAAGGTAGCTCTTGAAAGGATTTAGTTTTATTATTCCCAACACTTTATGACTGATTTGGCCAATTCAGGAGGAAGTGAAAATATGATATATTCTCTATTTTGAATCAACATGGAAAAAAACAACTTTGTTCTAGACTCTGTCTATTTATACAAACGTTATATTGTTTGTCAGACAGCAGACTAAGACTATAACTTAATCGGAGGTGACAAAAGTAAGATTTCCCAGACAGTGTTCTACGTTTATGATATGTAACTACTAGACCATCACAAAATCACATTAAAATATTACTCTAACATAATATTTTGCTTATTTATAAATTGTCAAATTATTCAGAGTGACCCCTAAGAGGCGGATAAAAGAAACTAAATTCATTTAATTGTTGTAATTAGAACAGTAATCACCTCACTACAGTAATAAATTTAGTATACGTACTTCCCTATTCATGTTAAGTTGAGGGATAACTTAGCAATTAAGGGGGCCGACTATAGTTTTATTGTGTGAAAACTACAATAGCGAAACTCTTCATTTTTATACCATATATAATTTACATTAACTTCAGTGTACATGCAAAGTTTGGGGAAAATCTACCGTCCAGGTTTTTTTGAGGGACCGTCTCAAAATACAGGTACATTTACTATAGGATTATATAGGAAAATGCCAATTTTTAGCACTTTAAAGCAAATTATACAAATACTACAATAGACATTTTGTTCAAACTATAATATTTGATGAGTAATACTATATTATACAATATATGTAAGAAACACATAATTCTACCGTCTTGTTACCAGAGGGGGCATCTCAAAATGCAAAAAATTAGCAAATTTTACTAGTTTTATAGAGTATTAGAAAATATGACGTACACAGTGGATTCACATGAAAACATAATAAAATATTGGAGATATTCTCAAATTTCTATGTTTTAAATTTCAAGAGCGTATGTTTATTACTTTTTTAAAAATAATATTTTTATTACCCCTTTCTTTAAGAGCTACAGATTATCATAACGTCAAAAACACACTGCAACGACGTCAACCTACCTATCAATTGCAAAATCGGTTAAAAAATCAGTTATATCAAATTGAAATTACATTTTTATACCTATAATTTCTTAACTTTGTTTAATTTTAATAATTAAGCGAAAAAAGTTGCATTAAAACAGTAAATACGCTTCATTTTACTATGATGCGCGAAATATTGCGCAATGGAAACTATAGTCGGCCCCCTTAAATCAACACTTACCTGAAGAAGCCATGAAATCAACAGTTTGGTATGTTGTTTCCCGGTTAGGATACTGCTGCAGAGTAAGACGTATAGAGACATTCTCTATATCCACCAAATCCGCAGACACCGTGACGTCACAATCCACACGGAACACATCTGGCGCTGTAATGACGTATGTTGGACTGAAATCGGTAGGGTATATGGATAAATGTTTAAATATATTCATTTTTGTATCTCTCTATTATATAAATATGCAAAAAGCAAACGCCTTCATATCTGTATGAAGTTTTTCACAGGTCATAGGCCTTCATAGAATTTGATCACAAGAGTGTCAAAAATGAGTAAGTATCATTTTCAAACCATACAAAGAACAAAATACGGTATTAGCGGTAGTTCGCCGAAAAATTTACGCTATTTTCATTTTCTTTTATTTGTTTTTTGTTGTTGTATATTGAAGAGAGTAAGATGCGAACTAAATTCCAGAGGCATAAAAATGACGTAATTTTCCATTATGACGTCACTATTACGCGCTAAACATGGAATGGTCGTTCAAAATCGCTAAATAATAGTGTAATTTAATAAAACTTTGTTAAAATTTAACCCTTTCACATGCAACAACCACTTTTATATTTCGAATGCAAAATGCCAGGTACATATCTCATTCACACAATGAAAATGGTGTTGGTTGTCACATGTGATCAATATGAATTTTGGGGGAAAATGAAATACGGAAATTGGTAATTTACCAAGGTCATTTACTCTTTTAATTCTTGTTTCTAACGACGCTATGTTCGCGGATTCGAGGGAAGATAAGACAGAGAACCAGAGTGTCTTGGTAAGTTATTTACTTCCATAACTAGTAATAGCAAATCATAGATAGTAACATTATACGAAAAATTAATTAAACTGTAGATCTATGTGAATTTCAATTAATTTAGAATTGATATATTGGATTCATGTCATAGGCTTCGGAACGGGGGGGTCTATGTGGCTTAGACATTATACAGGTATTGAAAATTGGGATTTACCTTTTTTTGCTGGTTTAGCCCCCCCCCCCCCTTTCAATTAGCCCTCCCCCTTTCAATTTGCTTCCGATGCCCATGCGTATATTTTCATACATATAATTTGTAAAGAAGTCGTGGGGTCGATAAAAATAAATATTACAAAGAGAGAGAGATAGAGAGAAAAAAAGGATGACATTCTTATTAGAAAATGGTGAATCATTAAAAATATTATCAAGGATTATAAAGATGACATATATGATGATGATATGATGATAAAAATGCAATGAATCCACAGTTTTCCGACACTGCTCGGTTTTTTATTTTGAATATACTAGTCTAGGACTACTATACAATTGTGTAAAACTAAAATGACAAGAATGATTTCCATAATATCTTGTGATAAATATTTCAAATTCACTGGAAATAAAAATTCATATTTTCAGATTTAGGGTTAGGATACAAACACGCAATGGTCTTTCAGTGTGAGTGTGTGTGTGTGTGTGTGTGTGTGTGTAAGCGGGGGCGGGGGGTGTTTGTTGTCGAAGTTCCCTTCAGTCTCGAACACTGGAAAACCCGGTCTAGTTAGATTTGATCTGCATCCCTCCTCCCTCTGCTTCATTTTACTTTCTGACTCCTTATTCTGCAAACCTAGCAAACACTCGATCGAATTATTGAACATTCATATATGGAAAACCATCACGCATAATTGCTTGTTTATCTAATCACTTTACCTTGAAAAAACATGCATACCCTCTCCCCTTCCTTTAACATTACAACTTAACACCCTTCCTTATTTATAATAAGACGAGTTCTAAATAATGTTTTTGAAAAATATGTAAAGTCAATCAAAAAAGCTATAAATAAATTTGTAAATATCAATCCTTACACATTAACCTGAATATATATCGCTATGTGGACCATTTTATATACATGTACAGAAAATAGTATAGAAAAACAAACTATTACAGTACTGTACTGTATATGGCCTTATGCTGTCCTGACTCACCGCTATGTAGCGATGTATTACTGATTAATGCTTTTTTTTTAAATTGATTAATTTAACTTTTCTCTCCGTTTTCAAATGAAATATTACCCTTTGTCTCAACACATTTAACTCTGAATATATACATTTGTGGTATCTCTCCATTATATAAACATACAGAGAGAAAATATCTTCAATTCTGTATGAAGTTTGTCAGAGGTCAGAGGTCAATACGTGACCTAATCACACGGCGCAATAATATCTACCGGTACATAAATTATGAAATGACCTGCTCTACTTGCTTATCATGTATAAAAATGAATAAAATAAGCAAGTAAAATGATAGTAATTATTTTATTTAAAATGTAAACAAGAATTTCATACAGTTTTGGGGCCATCGATTCAACCCTGTATACATGGAGAAAACTAGGAGCCTAGCGTTTGTTTATATTTTTCTTCACTTTTGTCAGCTGAACGTTCATCCTTATATTTTGGGGTAAACCTTTGGTTAAATTTTCATGATAAACTTTCATTTTATCTTTAAATTTTACTCACGTTAAATGTGTAAATCTGTTGAAAAATATCATTGCAATCATGCCATGAACAGCTGCCAAACACCTCGGCTTTTCGTAGTTCATTGTAGGACCTAAAGCTGTCGCCAGTGTCTCCATGTTTATCAATGTTTTACGATAAGTATGCCTTTAGTTACTGAAACCGTTGATTGTTTTTAAATTTGATCAAATTGCTAATTAACTGGCTCGGACAAGTGTCTCAATCCATCGGATCCATCCATCCCTTTCTGGCGACCGAAATTCCTCCAACTTTTTATCATCAAACTTCGGACGTGTTTCTTGTGTCTATTCAGCATCGATTATAATTTTTCACGAGTAAAAATATTCCCAGACAACAATCTGTTCACTATTACTGATCACAAGTAGCCTTTCACAAAATATTCCCTTCGAAATAGATTCCTTAGCCTAATGAATTCGAAACGTAACCGCCATGCAAGCCGATTTACACCTTGCGTCATTTTCAAAATCTACGACGGACGGTTAGTGCAATAATTTAAATTCGAAAATATTCAATTGTCTGTCTCAAATGTATATATAAGTAATAAATAACAAGTTTATAAACTTCAATGGGAATTGAAGTGGGTCGGTACGTGATCAAATCTTCTGAGAAGGCCTTCGGCCTTCACAGGATTTGATCACGTGACCGACCCACTTCAATTCCCATTGAAGTTTATAAACTTGTTATTTATTTCTTAATTAGTCAGTTTTCTTCTGGAGATCTACATCTTCTTGTGATATTACAGAGAAACAAAAAAGAAAAACAAAACACACACAACTCTCAAATAGCTGCTCTTAAAACGGATCATGTAAACATTATTTCCCGCCGAAATGTGCATGGCCAAAAAACTGCAGACTCGGAGTTACAAACCAGTTTATCAATCAATCTTGTGATATAAATTCCATGTAATTATGCAATCATTCTGGCACTTAAATTATGATATCGTCCACTTTCTAGGTCAGGGTTTCTTATATCTTAAAAATTATTATACCGATACACATTTTTTTTATAAATTGAAAATATAAATATTTTATGCAGATTCAAATATATAATACAGATGTAATAAAATATTATAATTGATGAATAAAATATCAATGTATCAGGTTTGGGAATCCCCCACACACTTTCGTTGAGAACTCGGTGCTTCCTTACACCTGGAACTCTTCGTGTATCGTGCATATCATTTACAGCTTGATCCCCCCCCCCCTTTAAAACACACACACACACCCTAACGCCCTTAATTATCCTCATTTGCTTTATTTTGGTGTCTTTGTGAGTTATGTCCATGTTTACTAGTATTGTTACTATAAATAATAAATATTCTATTCTATCACATATCACATAT